CCGTAGGTCGGTGGTTTTTCTCCGGGAACTCCGGCTTTTCTCCACAATCAGAACCTGGCACGTCTTCCAATGACCATAGCTGTTAATACGACGTAAAACACAAACAAGCAAACAAACAAACAAAATACCACCGAGTAAGACTTGAATTACGTCAACAATGTCACATACCATTTTTCCTGTCTTTTTTTTAAGTTCCGGAACTTAACTTAGTACATACCGAAAGTAGCGGCTTACAAAAGCCTCAGGGGTTACTGTCTAACAACAGAAACAAACAGTTGCTACAAAATTTGTATGCTGATGTTTAGCATATCCATTCGACCGCCCAGAGGCGTATGGCTATCTTTATTGAAAAGCTCATCCTTATATGGTGTATCACGTGAATCTATATATAAATAAACAAATTGTGGGTAAGTCTTAAAATGCAGTTGTGTTATCACGATCGAAGCGAAGCGCGAAAAAATTGAGTGTGAGAAAAGGTGTTTCAACAAGACGGGTTTACGGAAATATTTGCACCACATTCACCCAGTAAATACAAAAAATGGTCAAAGATTCATTAAACAAAACAGGATTACCTAGCATTTAAATCGAAAATAAATTTCCCCTTGGCTTCATTGTTGAAAAACCATTATTAATACATGGAGTACACTTGAATGTTCGATATATTTCAGAGAAATTTCTGATAAATCATTTCCACGGATAGGAAATCGTTTCATGTTCGATTTTTTCATTAATGAATGAGATATATGTGTTATACAGTTTATTCGGTATCTGTTTTATTCACAAGCAGCTTAATGATAAGAAAACATCGAAAGACACATATTTAATGGTATTAGTCATATGTTAAGTATTGGCTACTCTTGAGTATAACATATATATTTCATGGCAAAATACATACAAGGGGTTTCCTTCTCTGTTACTGAGAGATGGTCACGTTTCCAAATTCAGGAAGCGTTTCAAGCGACTCCTTAGTAAAACAAACAGCCAGTAGAAATCCCATCTTGCCTAATGACAGTGTTATAATCAATAAGCTGCTGTCAGTTTCCATAGTTCCTTTAATTACAAACTGCAGCATTTCTTAACTTTCCCTTTTAATAAATATCCTACCCAAGTCATATTTACAGTATCTGAACGGGTTTTTATCCAGATACATAGTACAATTATTACTCAAAATTTCATTCGTTTCAAGCTTTAGTTTTGACATGGTTTACGTAACCTTCACTGTTTTTCACTAATACATTTTTCAAGGATGTGCACAACACATAAAGGGAAGATGGTTGTTAAATTATCTATAGCATTAAATATCGTTGGAAAAGTGTGCATGCAACTGAAAAAGTAATAACAACCTTTCGCAAAGATCTGCTGTGTCGCGCTATTTTGGGGGTCTTTTTGAGGCGTTTCACACTTTCCAAAGAATAAGTGAATTCACTCTTAAAGCAATTCAACAAACAGAACTCTCCATGTCAAAGATGTTTCTTTCCAATGCAATCCAAAAACAACCTTCGACTAACATCATCTGGTTGAAATTCCTACCTTCTTTTCCTAATTCTAATGGCCCGTTAATGCATTTCATCAATACCTACAGCTTTTGCAGCGCAGAACTTGTCCATTTTTCCGGTTGTTTTCATCGTCGGTACCGTTTTCAAATTTCTTAAAAAAGCTGCAATCAGTTTTAGCTTTCACAAACCTGGACCCACATATTTACAAAGCGCATCAAGGTTTTCAAATAGGGGCAAAACCCTCACAGCAGCTAAGGGGGGTTTCTGAGAACTTCCCCAAAAGTGGGTCGCTGGAAATCGGATGCAGCTCAAAGTACTTAAAACCAGTCTTTATGTAGGATGAATTTTGAAAATATAACTATTGTATTTAACTAAGCATTATTAAAAAATCTGCAGTGAAAACAAAACCAATCATTGCCACTATTCGCCACACACAATGAAGCTGTTTCGAGGAATAGATGTTATCATTACAAATTAGCAGTATGTTCAGTTCTACAAATCACTAACAGTTTATTGAGACATAATTGTTTAACCACACATTCCGGATTGTTCAAAGTGAACCTGTCTCATTCACGGCAGTGTTATTACCAGTGATTGTGCAGTATTAGTCTTTATATTACACTGTACATACAATCGGGTATACACACGCGATCTCCTAATCAATATCGTTCCCAAACTCAGATTAGGAATCATAGTTTTTGTTGTGATGTACTTTTTTGTTAATCATAATATCACATTATATTTTCCTCTTTTATTGCATTGTTTATCTATAACTCATATCATTAGGTGCATGATATTAAACGAAGGTCTGTACCATAGAGCAGTAAGTTTTAGCTGCTCTCCATGCTGTCAAGAACAACTTCTTCGTCAAAACCGTAATGCTCATGACCAGGAGATATACGTTATGGCAATAAAGCATCGCCAAAGACTCTGGGAGGGGCGGATGAGGAACTTTGAGAATTATTTCTCTAAATGTCACTGACCTACTTCGGAGTCGATCGGAAAAAAGAGGACAAACTTGATAAATAATATCTCCCAAAGACTACCACGAAAAAAAAACGAGAGTGGTCATGCTTCCATTCTTAATGACACAGTGGCTGGATTAACGAAGCTCCACGGTAAATGAATCGAAAGGTCAATGTTTAGTAAATGGGATGAGAGCGTATTTAATCATCTGGACACGGGTTGATCTCTAGCATGTGTATTATCTCCCTGTGGTTCCTCGCTCGCGAGACGAACTCCTTGTTGCTGATTCTGTTGTCATTATCCTCATCGAAACGCTCAAAGAAGTAGTCGGTTAGTTCTTCCGGTGTTGAATTATTTCCCGAAATCTGCGCTAATGTCATGCGACAAATAGACTGAAAAAGATCCAGAAAATTAACAAGTATTAATACTGTGAATAATCATCGGCAATGTTAAAATACAAAAATGTACACAGACTGGTAATACCTACCTTTATCAAAGTAAATGATATTTATGATTTTGTGCAACAGTTATACTATGTAAAACTTCTTTGATGCTTAAGACGTTTGTCGAACTTTTGACATTATGTTGCATTTCTTTCGCTTCAAAAATGTCAATTCCAACTACATGTTTGTTAAAGTATAGTTTGTGAGGACTGGCCACAATAACAGCCCCACAAGTCAAGCACAACAACAAGAGCGTGTGGCTTGTTGTTCTGTGCATGTATGTTATTAATTTGATTTAAGAGAATTTGGGAGAACAATTTTCTAGTAATATATAATTATTGGTTTCTCAATTTCTACGTTAATGATAAAAATACTCTACATTTGCATCATAATAACATTCGACTAAGAGTGTTAGTATATGTAGGTAAAAGTTATTATGAAACCATGACGGTGTCGATATGGGTACAATGACATAAGCTAAATGTATCAAATTTATGCATACAGTTTCATAACATATTTGTGGGATAGGGGTTGATTTGTCGACATGACTATGTACCCAATTATCGAACAATGAAGTTTGCTGACATGGACCTGGACTACCATTCTGTTATCCTAAATGCGTAAGTGTGTTTACAAACAAATAACCCAGTTATCAATTAAGCAATAGCCCAGCGATAGAGGAAGTGTACAACATTGTTGCAATTGTTTTTAATTAAATTTTAATTAAAGATCTGTTTATCACCAAAGGTCATAGGTCAAACTGCAAAAATTGAGGCAAATTAAGCGTAACTATTTCACAATAGTGCGAGGATCCATGATTTTTAAACTTATTATAACAATACCGTATTAGTTCAAGAGTATGTTGTATTGTGATTTTTGTCTTACCGTGAACATAAATTTCATCTCGTCTTTGGTGATGTAGCCGTCCCCGTTCATATCGTACATCTTAAAGGCCCAATCCAGCTTCATGTCTTCCTCTAGTGGAGACCCAGACACGTAAATACCCATCATGAACTCTTTGAAATCCACAACTCCGTTGCCGTCGGTATCAAACACGCGAAACACTTGTTCAGCGAAGTTCGACGCCTCGCCTTCAAATAGTCTGCTATATACCCTGATGAAGGCTTCCATAGTAAGCTTTGACTCACCCCTCGATAGGGATGCCTTGTATTGTTCAAACCATCCCAATATCTCCTCATTCGTGTACTCGTCCGATAACACCGCCCGTAACTCCTTCATCGTTCTTGGACTCGGTAAGGACGATTTGTTCCCCATAGTTGTCACTGTGGTCAGGGTAGAATATATTCCCGTCGCTAAATAGAAAACAAAATTAAAAAAATATCTCGTTTTTATATTTCTATTGTATCTTCCGAGAAAGTCTTAGTATACAATATCGTTTACGTGTTTGTGTTAAACAAATGTATATCTTCACCGAAGGAGGACCGAACATGTTGTTACATAGCCACTAGGGGACACTGCCACACTTATCACAGCACGATGAGAGTTATAAAAGGCGAAACTTATTTCCATATCTTTATATTTGAGTGCATACACAACTTACTTAAAGCGGCCAGTATTTTAAATATAGTTTTGAACAATGAGACAGATGGTATCGTTATCTGGACGGAGAAGATCATAATCGTTCAGCAGCAAATCAATAATAAGCAAACTATATTTAGACAAATTTCTAAAATGTACAGTACGGGGTTCTTTATTTAAATTAGTATACACCATAATTAGTGGAAAGTTAACAACAACAAAATACCGAAGTGGAAACAAAACCGTACTACGTACACAAAGTCGATGAAATTAGGACAAGGTATGAACGAAGGAGACATTACAGATATATCCCTAGCAAAGTAACTAGAGGAATGAGACCACATGTTCCGGAAGCGTAAGCGTCTTCTGATTTGTCGACGATATTGATGTGAATGATAAATCTAGATGCAATCATTACAATATGACGTCCTTAAACCCAAATTCTAACCTTTAACCCTTCAAGTAAGTGAGAACCATTGTGGTGACAAAGAATGCACTAGACACACTCGTGATTGTAATCAAATACTAAACCACAAATATGTCCCAATAAGTTCGTGAGGGTGACCATGACCTTTGCCCATAGTCTTCATCAACCTGCAGTTATCTTATAACTTGTGTGCATGTGTCTGTCAACTTTCTGTATCGAGCAATACTGTAAATTTGAATCCATTTGCAAAATGGAAACACGGTAGGTTCGGGAACAAAGATATTAAATCCCTGATTAGAATATCCAGCATGCAAGTGTACGAGACACCTCATTGCCAAATTGTCGGTGAATAAGTTTCCGGTACAGAGGACACCAGACCCGAATTTCACTGT